TATCATCCTTGCTCTGACCTTGCCACTAGCCTCTCGTACAAGTCCTAGGCTAACTGGTAATCATGCGTCAGTATACAAACTCTATCCTAATTGTTACTCATACACACATTATTCTGTTGCTCGTACTTTGTGATTAGTGATTAGAAAGGGTTATCATCACAGCACTCCGGACAGAACCATAAGTGCTCCGATCTCCTCCTCAAAAGCTTCACAAGTGTAAAACGACTGATGACGCCTGTTCTGTGTTGGTTAACGAAACGTCTTGTCCCCTTAGTGAAATGTTCATTTCTTGCAGCTTCAGGCTGCACCCCCATGTCCATCTGTCTAGACAGGGATACGGAGTCATGTCCTTTGGCGTGCTCCTCGGTACGGTAAGTTCAGCGCGTGGCATTGATAACATCACTTCTGTCCAGTACTGGTCCAGACATAGCAACCGCAGTGTCAGCAGGATAGTCTGCAAGCTCGTTCCCTTGAACACCCACATACCCTGGCACAAAGATGGTTAGGGCAGCTATTCGTAAAGTGCTTAGTGTTCCAATCCATTCTTGCCTTATAAATCCAGCTTGTATTTTTTAAAGCATATTCATCGAGTCATTTTGTCTATCTTTCTATAACAATATAGTTTCTTCCAGGATTGTAGTATACAGGAGTAACATCTCAAGGCTGAGAATCGTACACGTACAAATACCGGTAATCCCCATTCATCTTCGGAAGGGGGGGGGGGACTTTGGTCAAGCGCTTTACTAATCCATCGTGGGCCATAAACTGGGGATGTTATCTCAAAGTCTCTTAGGTTTCTCCATAGCGTAGTTGGCATGTCTGCTAGGTGTGGCCACAAATTGCTTAGCAATTCCGACAAAAGAGGGTCGTCTTGAAAGACTTGTTATGGAGTCTGTTCATGGCGAAGGCACTGGCAGAGAGCTGTTTGGCTCATACTTAAATAATTGTATATGAGTGTTTGAGTTTGCAGTGACCAATGCGTAAGCGAGGCCCAGTAAAACGGTTAGATTATATGGAGGCCCCTGAGGGTTACAGGGTAACCTGAAGTCGACTGAGCAGGAATAACAATACATCATAGTCAGGGGAAAGGTCAAGGTTAGGACCTGGGTGCATCCGCTCCTGGCAAGTGTCTAGAAATTGAAAGGCCAAACCCTTCGTCCAAGTGCCATCTATCTATCTGAAACCTCGTTCTGTGTTAGATATGCCGCGGAATTCTTATTGGGTGGGCCTTACACCACAGCGGAACACAAAATATGCGTTATACAATCATTACGTGCCCTGTTGATAAACGTAAAAGGTCATGTTTCGCTATCGCATACGATCATCAGAATCATGGATCAAGTCATTGTTCTTGCCTCGCGTTATCCATATGGCCAAGCCATCCAGGCTTGTTTTTGTGTTTTTCTTTGGCACACGAGCAGAGCAGTCATCTGGCGACCCAGCTGTTGTGAGGTTGGAACCTCAACTTTCGCGATTAATGACTAGCTTGTTCTTCTTTTGCGTTGACTGGCTGTTGACTCCGGCAGAACGTATTGGTTTTGTCTTGTTCTAGACTGGTCTTGTTCCAGAATTTAAGTTTTGTATGCATATCCGTTCTACAGATCTGGTTTATCTGTATGCAGACTGCTGGTTCCTCGCCTCTCAGGCAGATGCACTCCATCTTTGAAGGTCAGCATCATAATTATCATTTAGCAGGTCCTTTGCAGAACGTTGCTCTCATCAGCGTCTGCCTGAAAGAAATTCGGTCTCTCGCCAGCTTTCCCGCCTCATGTACTTTTATACCCAAGGAGTCATTTATATCCTGTGCCCATCTTCGTGTCGGTCGGCCCCAGCCCCTCCTTCCTGGTACCATGCCTTCTGCCATAAATTTTTCAATATCTTCGAAGCCAGCACCCGTAATTAGTCATCCCCAATGACATGCTAGTGGGTGGGGGGGGGGGGGCAGTGAGTATTTGTTTTCCTACAATGGGGTGCGGGAATCCACACGGGAATAACGATAGTCGAGATCCAGGTATTTACCTCTTTGCTTTCCCTTGCTCTTTCTGCATCAGTCTTGCCCTTCTCGAGTCAGTTCTTCCTTAGAACTTTTCAACAATACATATGGCTTTATTTTAAGCAGTAACTTCATAAGCGGGTCACTGACAGACGGTCGCTCTCTTCACGACTCTCTCTCTCTCTCTCTCTCTCTCTCTCTCTCTCTCTCTCTCTCTCTCTCTCTCTCTCTCTCTCTCTCTCTCTCTCTCTTGCCGCTTTTCCAGCCGTGTGCTTTCATGACCTATGTATCTTCAGTTACCTGTATCACCTTTCTCTCCAAACCATCGTGGCAATTAAAAAAAGGTAAAAAAAGTAAAGGACCCTTTTCCACGCCTTTAGGCGTATAGGGCATAAAGGATTAGACTTACATTTTATAGACAATTCGGCACAAGATGGGTGATGTGGTCAGCATCACGTCGACCACTTTAACTTCCCGGGACTGCACTCGGTATCCACTCAAGGCTGGGTGGACCTAGAGCCAATCGTGGCTCTTGACGTGAACAAAATACCTCCGCTGTCTGGACAGGACGTTGTTTACGAGCCAGTTCTCCTTCATGTAGGATGTTGACGTGTTTCTTTTTCTTGGTGCACGGTATTCTAAGAATTGTTCTGAAGCATTTCAGTTCAAGAGCTCCGATTTTTTAAAAGACTAAGAGTCCATGACAAATATCTTGTCCTGGAGGGGGCTGAGTGGGCTCGAGGCATGGCTTCCGCCTCGAGTGCTGGAGGTCCCGGGTTCAGGTCCCTGTGAAGGCTGGGATTTTTTCATATGGACTTCTAGTAATTTCACCCTGGTCTCTGGGTAGTAAGATCGGACGCCTGTGTGTTTTATTGCACACGTAAAAAAAAAAATCCCTTGACAGTTGGAAATTGAAAAGAGTAGGTTGAAGGTGCTGCCCGGGCAAAATTAGAGTTATAAATCTATCCAAAGTATGTCAGGAGCCTCGCCGGTGCTATGGTGTTCATTCACTGCGCTGAGGTTCTTCGGACTCGGCTTGAGTTAGAAGTAGAACGGGTTACTACCATTGTGCTATAGTGTTGATCCATTTTTTAAACCAAACCAAACCATACTTACATCAATTTTTACCATTGGAAAGATGCATGACTCAAAATTATTACTATAACTCGCTGTGCCATAGGTTGTTCATATTGTTCAATCTCTGCGTTGCTAAAGTATTAATAGATGTACACACAAATTTTCCAAAGTTTGAGGTCTGCCCTAAAAAGAAATGGACACCAACACATTATAAAATAATAAATTATTTTACCACGGAGAAACAATGCCACATGCGAAAAACACGACTGACTGTTTCCGCATCAACAAGATGGCGGTGTCAATAGAGTTTATTGGTGTTGATACAATCATTTTCTCCAACGTCTATAGTTCCACTGATAAGCCTACAGATATTACGCAGTTTAGCACAGATGATGTCTTTAGATCTTTTTAAAGTTTCTAAAGAATTTGAACTGAATTGAAGTGAGTCTGAATATAACTGATAATTTTTTTTTTACGCCATCATGAGAGTGAGGTGGGCACTCTGTGTGTGGCTGTGATTGATTGGTAAGGGGCGTTGCGGCTGTGACAGGTTGGATTTGAGATTATTCAGATAGTGATATATCGACAGTGCAGTATATCATGCAAGGTTGTCAAAGCCAGGAACGAAAATATCAGTTTCCTCAACTAATTACATTTTGCTACTGAACGGACTTTGATAGCAGAGATACAGTCATGCAATTGCAACATCTTAGACCTACATTATCATTTTATCTGTTAACAAATGTGAAGAACGCAAGGCAAATCATATTAGAATCAACACTGGACAGGTAAAAGAAATGTCATTAGTAACGTAAACATCAGGTGCAGTAATGCCAACCAAATACTGGGAAACCTTCCCCCTTCCCTCCCTTTACAGCACATGACAATCCCATTCGACAAGGGATCATGCAGCATTGGCAATACCTGGCCTTTATGATAATGCCATTTTTGCTCTGGAAATGACACATTTGACCCTGACCTTAATTGGCTGTGTAACATATGCTTCTCTTTAACACATACAAACTGTCATCTGGAGAGAGAAAAGGTCAAGGACAGTTTTAGACTCTAAATCTTGGCCTAGTTCTCTACGTTCTCTATCGACTTTTTGTTGTTGTGTTTTTATTGGCTGAGCAGCAAAGTAATCGAAGAGCACTGGTTCTATATAGCTCTCGTTCAGATAGGCTGTTAGAGACTTGCTAATGACAATGTTTAGTAATGTTAGTTACGTAAATCACAAAAGGTCTTGGCTCTGTTACACTGCTCTGAGACTCTTTCTGTTTCAACGACCGAACAGTCAGTATAGCTGAAGATGCTATTTATTTAAATTCTGCTAAATTGTTGGTACAGAAAGTATCTGAAGCTACAGAGTTCGTGCTTTGTGAGACTGTCTGCAGGTGGGTAGTTGTTCTGCAGAGATATACCACGCTAGATGGGATAATGAGCAGCAAAGTCATGCTTTCAACTTTAATCTGACCTTAATCTAGCTTTAACAGGCGCCAAGCCAGTTTGCAGAGAGAGAGAGAAAGAGAGCACATGACAGTTAAATCTCTCTCTGTGTGAACCGGCTTAGGGCCTATTAAAGTTGCAGACTACCACTTACTTGACCGGCTAGGGCAGCAGGTTCTTAGTCTGTGCCTCAGGATAGGACATAACAAATTTAACAAGCATATGTACAATCCACCTCTCAGTAATTCACCTTTGTGCCAATGTGGGCTGTATGCGCAGACCACAGAACATGTCCTGCAAGAATACCCCTTGTATAGCCAATCAAGAAGGTAATACTGACCCACTGAGTCAACACTGTACTCAAAGTTGAATGGAACTAAAAGGAAACTTTTAAAAAACCAGTCATGTTTATCAGAACTTGTCACCCCGTGTAAATCAGAAATCGATCCCAAGAAGAATTCAATCTGTCAATTATTTTTCAGGTATGGTGTCCCTGGTGCTTGTTCAGCGTCGGCTGCAGAATCTAACAGTGGGAAAAGTAGTCTTAGCGTTGGTGGTAGTTGTGACTTTCTTCAATGAGTACCTTGTGTATACACTGCACTCTTTCAGATGGGCCAGTATTCCCACAGATAGGTAAGTTTTTCTTGTATTTGTGAATGTTTTCTCTTGATTTTACATCTTCTCCCATTTCTCATGAAAAGATATAAAACCGAATGAAAAGTATATTAGCACCCTCAAAGCCTTTTCTCATGGTCTGTCAGTCTGCTGGCTCTCTTTCTCTCTCTTTTATTAATGAATATACTCTTTGACTATCCTATCCTCCTTAAGTATTGTCTCTCCACATATCTTTTTCCTTCCTGAAAAGAGTACTCTATACCTCTTTTGTTTTGATGTGACTTCATCCACTTGTAACTATATATGTTCAATCTTGTCATCTGATTGTTTTTATTATATTGAATATCCTCTCCTGTTTTTTTTTTTTTTTTTTTTTTTTGGGTTATTATCCTTGCTTTCCCTCTCAACTGTATATCTTTTTTTTTCTTACGGTGTGGGTTCTGCTGTAGAGACATTCTAGTTATACAGATATTCTCAGGTTTTTCCCAGTGTGTGTTCTGTATGATGCCAGTGTCTTTTCTTTACCTCTTGACACAAACATGAATTCATAATCTTCAAAACTCATGATTTTATCTTTCTCCTCCTTTTTTTTCTAATTGGTGTTGCATATTCCTGAAATATTCGATTCATTTTCTTTTTTGAAATATCCAATTTCTCACGCGCTTGTGAAAATTCCTCTTTCTTTCTTTGCATTTTAGAACTGTGCCTTGTCGTGGTGTTGCATCATTGCCCTCTTCTGTTGTTGCATCATTGCCCTCTTCTGTTGTTGTGTTTCTCTTGTAATCACATGAAGCACGCCTAGACTGCCCACCTGCCGGGTTAGTTTCAATTCCCAGATGGGGCAGATTAGTTATTCTTCTTCGTGTTCACCAGCTGTAAACTCTGGCGGAAAGTTCTGGTTGTTCATCCACTTTTGGACTGCAATCCTGTTCCAGAACCTGAGTGTTGTGTGTGCATCCATTTTACAAATCTGACTTTTTTGTATGCAGATTGCTGGTTCCTTGCCTTAGGCAGATCCACTGACTTTGAAGGAAGCTCCCAGTTAGTTGACTCTTACGTCATGCTTCTGTTTAGGCAGTGGGTCTGTTCTTTCCCCCCCCCCTTCCCCTAATCATAGGGCCCCAGAACCCACCCAGGAAGATTAGTTAAATTGATGTTTATCCAAAAAATTTGATCCTGAAATCTTATCATGAAACTCACCCCATCTCATTGGGTGCGAGATTTTCCAGTGTCTGTCCTATGTTCTAGGGGTGTCGTGTTTTGTTATTTTTAACCCTATAAGCTTTCTTTATTCTGTGTCATGAGCGGCTGGCACTGTGTTTCACTTGCCTTGTGCGTTCACTCTACCTCACTGTCACTGGGGCCTTACTTGTGGACTTGACCCAGAGCCCACCCCAAAATGTCCCTAATTCTCAAACCAGTGACAGCTGCACAAGAGACCTAGTTGACAGAGAAAACAAACTAGTTCAACACTCGCTTACACACACACACATCTTTCAATGTTGCCTGCCACAAAAAAGGAGCTCCACACTTTTGTGTTACTCCTCCAATAAACGGGAGCCGCTTTTCCACACGGTGTGTATAGAAGGAGAAGGAACACATATCCTAACACCAAACAACAGCCCGTGGGAACAGCCATGGCATGAATGGGGACCGGCACAAAATGTCGCGCCCGATGAGATGGGGTGATGTTTGTAATATGTACCCACTCAGGAACTTGATGTTGTTAATTTATTTTCTGTATGTTTTAAATATATATTTTTTTTTTTTAATTTGATTTTGTAACTTTTACCGTTGTCCAGAAATCCTAAAGAAGAGATGGTAATCCTTCTAGTGTCTGACCCACAACTAATCGGCATTCAGGACGAGATAGGGTTCCCTCTGGGGCCAATCATCAGATGGGATGCCGACAGGTGAGGAGTTAGTGCGTATATGTACACGTACGGATTTATTGTCTGTGTGTATGAGCCAACTCACCTGATGAGAATTCAGTGTGGTTTTGGCTGGCACAGAAAGTGTGGTTTTGGCTGGCACAGAAACAGAGCAGTTATAGAGTGGCCAATTTGCCGTAAGGTTGGATCTGCTATAAATATCCTGTTAGTTTGTTATTGTGCCAGATGGTGTTGGCTTTTAGGTCATCTGGGCCTTGAGAGTAGGTTTCACTTATTGCACTGAGACCTTGTGACTAAAGTAAAGTTAGTGAGGTGCTGTTTGTTTAGTGCAAGAGATTCTCACCAATAATGACAATTACAGGGTGGTCAATTACAGTGAGAACAAGAGTATTAAAGTGTTATGTACAACCTATGTTGTAACATGCATGTCAGACATGGATAATGAGCATAAAATCTGAATGACCATTACTTGCGGCAGAGATGTGGTTTTTGAGAAGCATGTAATGAGTATGGAGGGGTAGAAAAGCAGTCCTCAGTGAAATAGAAGAAAGTTGTAAACTTATCAAAAGAATTAGACGTAGATAGTCAATTGGGGGAGGGGCAGGGACATGTTATGGGAAGAAATGGACTTGAGAACTTTGTAACATCTGCCAAGATTTGTGGAAAAGAGAGCAAGAGGATGGCAATGAGATAAATATCTGGATGGCTTGGTCATATGAATTTAGCGGGACAAGAACATTGATCTGATCCGGGATTCTGGTGGTTCATGTAAGATGGCGAAAAATGACAACCTACACTTACCAGCATGGCACATGATGATAATGAGTTTTTTTTTTTTGTAGACTAGTGTTGGCATTATTAGGAACAGAGGAATACAAACATTCCACAGCACAAAGCCTTGTCAGTGCTGTACAGTCCATGTGTTGCAATGCATCATGGTCCCTTTCTTGGCCCTCCTTGTTAACTCCAAATTACAGGTACCACCAGTAATTTGGAACACAGCATGCTGTGATTGTGGAAGACTTTTTTAACAAGGGCGGGTCTTGCTTGTTACGCTGACCATCGCCATGGGCTGTGAGTCCCATGACAGCCTGTAACACAAAACACGTATCTAGATCAGGGGTCTCCAAACCTTTTTTTCTTCAGGTTTTCCCCCCCCCCCCCCCCCCCCCCCCCCCCCGTGCCTTGAGTATATAGCAGGACCCCACCCGAGCTCCTTCGTCAGCCTAACAAAATGGGATCAAAATGATCAGGAATGTGTACTTAATCTATAATTAAATGCAGCTGTTATCATATCGACGTCAAAAGACAGATATCAACAACAACAGTATGTAGACAAACATTTGTTTTCTCAGCTACCTCCGTAAGACTTTCTACCGTGCCTATTACCACACCATACCTGATGTTGTTGTCTTCCTGGGAGATATCATGGACGAAGGAAGCAAGGCAACAGACTCTGAGTACCAGTCTTACTTCCAGAGGTTCAACAGCATTTTCTATGAGACATCTTACGCAAAGGTCAGTCTCTTTACTCTCATGACCTTTATCTTCTATTGCAGCACTGACCCTTCTTCGGGTTCACTGGCTGAAAACTCAAAGACAGAAAGTTCTAGTTGTTCGTCCACTTCAGTCCTATTCCAGAATTTTAGTTTTGCATGCACATCCATTTTAAAGATCTGGCTCATTTGTATGCAGATTGTTGGTTCCTTTCCTGTCGTACAGATGCACTCTGACTCGAAGGAAAACCCGCAGTAAGCCAACTCTTAACAACATGCTTGTCAGGGAGGCAGTGGGTGTATTCTGGTTTTTCCAACATTGTGACCCAAGACCCCGCACAGGGAGGCCCTCAAGCAATTCCCACCAAACCATTGAATCTTTTGTCTGAGATACTTCCCGTCCTTTTTAGGATAAAATTGTTCGCTATTTGAAGCCCTAATCTGGCTCTTGCCAGGGGCCGCAATATAGCCTGGTCATAAAAATGGCCTAAAGGCTGAACGCGGTTTCTGGGACCTCTCCACAGTGATCCTCATCCACATGGTGGCACATTGTGTCATCAGATGTTTATCGCTTGTGTGATGTCCTGTTTGGGTAGAGAGTCAGTCAGTCTGTATCTTTTGTCTCCTTCTACAATTACCTCCTTATCCTTCCAGGATTATTCATCTTTGTTTCTAATTCTCTTTTTGATTTGTTTGTAGGGCTCCCTCTATCTCTTTTACACCATTGGATCCAGTGACAGAATGTTCTAGTTATACTTTTATTAGATTTTCTCAGTGTGTGTTCTAACTAGCAAGCATATCTTTTTCTCATCTTGTTTAGCACAGCTCTCTTTTGTAGTGGTTGACTTACTTAAATGTGTACCAGCTCTCTCTTGTAGTGGTTGACTTAAAATGTGTACCAGCTCTCTCTTGTAGTGGTTGACTTTAATGTATTTGGCATAGCTCCCTCTTGTAGTGGTTGACTTAAATGTATTTGGCACAGCTCTCTCTTGTAGTGGTTGACTTAAATGTATTTGGCACAGCTCTCTCTTGTAGTGGTTGACTTAAATGTTTGGCACAGCTCCCTCTTGTAGTGGTTGACTTAAATGTGTACCAGCTCTCTTTTGTAGTGGTTGACTTAAATGTGTACTAGCTCTCTCTTGCAGTGGTTGACTTAAATGTTTGGCACAGCTCCCTCTTGTAGTGGTTGACTTAAATGTATTTGGCACAGCTCTCTCTTGTAGTGGTTGACTTAAATGTGTACCAGCTCTCTCTTGTAGTGGTTGACTTACTTAAATGTGTACCAGCTCTCTTGTAGTAGTTGACTTACTTAAATGTGTACCAGCTCTCTCTTGTAGTGGTTGACTTACTTAAATGTGTACCAGCTCTCTCTTGTAGTGGTTGACTTAAATGTGTACCAGCTCTCTCTTGTAGTGGTTGACTTAAATGTGTACCAGCTCTCTCTTGTAGTGGTTGACTTATTTAAATGTGTACCAGCTCTCTCTTGTAGTGGTTGACTTTTTTAAATGTGTACCAGCTCTCTCTTGTAGTGGTTGACTTAAATGTGTACCAGCTCTCTCTTGTAGTGGTTGACTTAAATGTTTGACACAGCTCTCTTGTAGTGGTTGACTTAAATGTTTGGCACAGCTCTCTTGTAGTGGTTGACTTAAATGTTTGGCACAGCTCTCTTGTAGTGGTTGACTTAAATGTTTGGCACAGCTCTCTTGTAGTGGTTGACTTAAATGTTTGGCACAGCTCTCTTGTAGTTTTTGACTTAAATGTTTGGCACAGCTCTCTTGTAGTGGTTGACTTAAATGTGTTTGACATGGCTCTCTCTTGTAGTAGTTGACTTAAATGTGTTTGACATGGCTCTCTCTTGTAGTGGTTGACTTAAATGTGTTTGACATGGCTCTCTCTTGTAGTGGTTGACTTAAATGTATGCCAGCTCTCTTGTAGTGGTTGACTTACTTAAATGTGTACCAGCTCTCTCTTGTAGTGGTTGACTTAAATGTATGCCAGCTCTCTTGTAGTGGTTGACTTACTTAAATGTGTACCAGCTCTCTCTTGTAGTGGTTGACTTAAATGTGTACCAGCTCTCTCTTGTAGTGGTTGACTTAAATGTGTACCAGCTCTCTCTTGTAGTGGTTGACTTAAATGTTTGGCACAGCTCTCTTGTAGTGGTTGACTTAAATGTTTGGCACAGCTCTCTCTTGTAGTGGTTGACTTAAATGTTTGACACAGCTCCCTCTTGTAGTGGTTGACTTAAATGTGTACCAGCTCTCTCTTGTAGTGGTTGACTTAAATGTTTGGCACAGCTCCCTGTTGTAGTGGTTGACTTAAATGTATTTGGCACAGCTCCCTCTTGTAGTGGTTGACTTAAATGTGTACCAGCTCTCTCTTGTAGTGGTTGACTTAAATGTGTACCAGCTCTCTCTTGTAGTGGTTGACTTACTTAAATGTGTACCAGCTCTCTTGTAGTGGTTGACTTAAATGTGTACCAGCTCTCTTGTAGTGGTTGACTTAAATGTTTGGCACAGCTCTCTTGTAGTGGTTGACTTAAATGTATTTGGCACAGCTCTCTCTTGTAGTGGTTGACTTAAATGTTTGGCACAGCTCTCTTGTAGTAGTTGACTTACTTAAATGTGTACCAGCTCTCTCTTGTAGTGGTTGACTTACTTTAATGTGTACCAGCTCTCTCTTGTAGTGGTTGACTTAAATGTGTACCAGCTCTCTCTTGTAGTGGTTGACTTAAATGTGTACCAGCTCTCTCTTGTAGTGGTTGACTTACTTAAATGTGTACCAGCTCTCTCTTGTAGTGGTTGACTTAAATGTTTGGCACAGCTCTCTTGTAGTGGTTGACTTAAATGTTTGGCACAGCTCTCTTGTAGTGGTTGACTTAAATGTTTGGCACAGCTCTCTCTTGTAGTGGTTGACTTAAATGTGTTTGACATGGCTCTCTCTTGTAGTGGTTGACTTAAATGTGTTTGACATGGCTCTCTCTTGTAGTGGTTGACTTAAATGTGTTTGACATGGCTCTCTCTTGTAGTGGTTGACTTAAATGTGTTTGACATGGCTCTCTCTTGTAGTGGTTGACTTAAATGTGTACCAGCTCTCTCTTGTAGTGGTTGACTTACTTAAATGTGTACCAGCTCTCTCTTGTAGTGGTTGACTTAAATGTGTACCAGCTCTCTCTTGTAGTGGTTGACTTAAATGTTTGGCACAGCTCCCTCTTGTAGTGGTTGACTTAAATGTGTACCAGCTCTCTCTTGTAGTGGTTGACTTAAATGTGTTTGACATGGCTCTCTCTTGTAGTGGTTGACTTAAATGTGTACCAGCTCTCTCTTATAGTGGTTGACCTAAATGTTTGGCACAGCTCCCTCTTGTAGTGGTTGACTTAAATGTATTTGACACAGCTCTCTCTTGTAGTGGTTGACTTAAATGTATTTGGCACAGCTCTCTCTTGTAGTGGTTGACTTAGTGGTTGTTAAATGGCACAGCTCTCTCTTGTAGTGTTGACTTAAATGTTGCTCTCTCTTGTAGTGGTTGACTTAAATGTTTGGCACAGCTCCCTCTTGTAGTGGTTGACTTAAATGTGTACACAGCTCTCTCTTGTAGTGGTTGACTTAAATGTTTTGCACAGCTCTCTCTTGTAGTGGTTGACTTAAATGTTTGGCACAGCTCCCTCTTGTAGTGGTTGACTTAAATGTGTTTGGCTCAGCTGACTTCTACCAGCTCTCTCTTGTAGTGGTTGACTTAAATGTGTACCAGCTCTCTCTTGTAGTGGACACCAGCTCTCTCTTGTAGTGGTTGACTTAAATGTATTTAGCTCTCTCTTGTAGTGGTTGACTTCTTTGGCACAGCTCTCTCTTGTAGTGGTTGACTTAAATGTGTACCAGCTCTCTCTTGTAGTGGTTGACTTACTTAAATGTGTACCAGCTCTCTTGTAGTAGTTGACTTACTTAAATGTGTAAATGTGGTACCAGCTCTCTCTTGTAGTGGTTGACTTAAATGTGTACCAGCTCTCTCTTGTAGTGGTTGACTTAAATGTGTACCAGCTCTCTCTTGTAGTGGTTGACTTATTTAAATGTGTACCAGCTCTCTCTTGTAGTGGTTGACTTTTTTAAATGTGTACCAGCTCTCTCTTGTAGTGGTTGACTTTTTTAAATGTGTACCAGCTCTCTCTTGTAGTGGTTGACTTAAATGTGTACCAGCTCTCTCTTGTAGTGGTTGACTTAAATGTTTGGCACAGCTCTCTTGTAGTGGTTGACTTAAATGTTTGGCACAGCTCTCTTGTAGTGGTTGACTTAAATGTTTGGCACAGCTCTCTTGTAGTGGTTAACTTAAATGTTTGGCACAGCTCTCTTGTAGTGGTTGACTTAAATGTTTGGCACAGCTCTCTTGTAGTTTTGACTTAAATGTTTGGCACAGCTCTCTTGTAGTGGTTTGACTTAAATGTTTGACATGGCTCTCTCTTGTAGTTTGACTTAAATGTGTTTGCATGGCTCTCTCTTGTAGTGGTTGACTTAAATGTGTTTGACATGGCTCTCTCTTGTAGTGGTTGACTTAAATGTATGCCATGCTCTCTCTTGTAGTGGGACTAAATGTATGCCAGCTCTCTTGTAGTGGTTGACTTACTTAAATGTGTACCAGCTCTCTCTTGTAGTGGTTGACTTAAATGTATGCCAGCTCTCTTGTAGTGGTTGACTTACTTAAATGTGTACCAGCTCTCTCTTGTAGTGGTTGACTTAAATGTGTACCAGCTCTCTCTTGTAGTGGTTGACTTAAATGTGTACCAGCTCTCTCTTGTAGTGGTTGACTTAAATGTTTGGCACAGCTCTCTTGTAGTGGTTGACTTAAATGTTTGGCACAGCTCTCTCTTGTAGTGGTTGACTTAAATGTTTGACACAGCTCCCTCTTGTAGTGGTTGACTTAAATGTGTACCAGCTCTCTCTTGTAGTGGTTGACTTAAATGTTTGGCACAGCTCCCTGTTGTAGTGGTTGACTTAAATGTATTTGGCACAGCTCTCTCTTGTAGTGGTTGACTTAAATGTTTGGCACAGCTCTCTTGTAGTAGTTGACTTACTTAAATGTGTACCAGCTCTCTCTTGTAGTGGTTGACTTACTTAAATGTGTACCAGCTCTCTCTTGTAGTGGTTGACTTAAATGTTTGGCACAGCTCTCTCTTTTAGTGGTTGACTTAAATGTTTGGCACAGCTCTCTTGTAGTGGTTGACTTAAATGTTTGGCACAGCTCTCTCTTGTAGTGGTTGACTTAAATGTGTTTGACATGGCTCTCTCTTGTAGTGGTTGACTTAAATGTGTTTGACATGGCTCTCTCTTGTAGTGGTTGACTTAAATGTGTTTGACATGGCTCTCTCTTGTAGTGGTTGACTTAAATGTGTTTGACATGGCTCTCTCTTGTAGTGGTTGACTTAAATGTGTACCAGCTCTCTCTTGTAGTGGTTGACTTACTTAAATGTGTACCAGCTCTCTCTTGTAGTGGTTGACTTACTTAAATGTGTACCAGCTCTCTCTTGTAGTGGTTGACTTAAATGTTTGGCACAGCTCCCTCTTGTAGTGGTTGACTTAAATGTGTACCAGCTCTCTCTTGTAGTGGTTGACTTAAATGTGTTTGACATGGCTCTCTCTTGTAGTGGTTGACTTAAATGTGTACCAGCTCTCTCTTATAGTGGTTGACCTAAATGTTTGGCACAGCTCTCTTGTAGTGGTTGACCTAGATGTTTGGCACAGCTCTCTTGTAGTGGTTGACTTAAATGTGTTTGACACGGCTCTCTCTTGCAGTGGTTGACTTAAATGGGTTTGACACGCTCTCTCTTATAGTGGTTGACTTAAGTGTTTGTCACAGCTCTCTCTGGCAATGGTTGACTCAAGTGTTGGACATGGCTCTCTCTCTTGTAGTGGTTGATTTGTGTGTTTGGCACAGCTCTCTCTGACAGTGGTTGACTGAAGTGTTTGGCACAGCTCTCTCTTGTAGTGGTTGACTTAAGTGTTTAGCGTAGCTCTCTCTTGTAGTGGTTGTGTCAGTTAAACATCCAGTAACGCCTTATCGATATTGGATTGTATGTAGTGTGCACTATATCAAGACTGTTCAGCTAAGTTTACTCTGGGACAAAATTTTGAAAATGAACATCATAACGGGCCAGAGGCTGAAACCCCAGCATAGAACAATCATTAATACGGTACAACTGGCAATGATCTGTAGTCCCAAAATGGCCAGCAGACCACCAGTAACACAGCCCTGTGTCCTTCAACATCAAATTCCTGCGGCCCACCAGCCCTTTTCTAGGACAGTAGATACACTGGTAATGAAACCAAAGAATGTATTATGACTACAGAGACTGGATGTGGTGCACATTGAGACTGGATGTGGTGCGCACAGAGACTGGATGTGGTGCACACAGAGACTGGATGTGGTGCACACAGAGACTGGATGTGGTGCGCACATAGACTGGATGTGGTGCAAATTGAGACTGGATGTGGTGCGCACATAGACTGGATGTGGTGCACAGAGACTGGATATGGCATGCACATAGACTGGATGTGGTGCACACAGAGACTGGATGTGGTGCGCACAGAGACTGAATGTGGTGCGCACATGGACTGGATGTGGTGCGCACAGAGACTGGATGTGGTGCGCACAGAGACTGGATGTGGTGCACATAGAGACTGGATGTGTTGTGCACAGAGACTGGATGTGGTGCACATAGAGACTGGATGTGTTGTGCACAGAGACTGGATGTGGTGCCATGCACAGAGACTGGATGTGGTGCCATGCACATAGACTGGATGTGGTGCGCACAAAGACTGGATGTTGTGTGCACAGTCTAGATGTGAAGTGGCTGTAGAGATAAGTTGTGACATATAAATTATATCCCTTGGATGTGGTGCACACAGAGACTGGATGTGGTGCACACAGAGACTGGATGTGGTGCGCACATAGACTGGATATGGTGCACATTGAGACTGGATGTGGTGCGCACATAGACTGGATGTGGTGCACACAGAGACTGGATGTGGTGTGCACAGAGACTGGATGTGGTGTGCACAGAGACTGGATGTTTTGTGCACAGAGACTGGATGTGGTGCGCACAGAGACTGGATGTGGTGTGCACAGAGACTGGATGTGGCATGCACATAGAGACTGGATGTTGTGCACAGAGACTGGATATGGCATGCACATAGACTGGATGTGGTGCACATTGAGACTGGATGTGGTGCGCACAGAGACTGGATGTGGTGCACACAGAGACTGGATGTGGTGCGCACAGAGACTGGATGTGGTGCGCACATAGACTGGATGTGGTGTGCACAGAGACTGGATGTGGTGCACATAGAGACTGGATGTGTTGTGCACATAGAGACTGGATGTGGTGCCATGCACATAGACTGGATGTGGTGCGCACAAAGACTGGATGTTGTGTGCACAGTCTAGATGTGAAGTGGCTGTAGAGATAAGTTGTGACATATAAATTATATCCCTTGTTGACATCTATCACATAGACTGTAGTGATTCCTGGAGACAATGACATTGGGGGTGAAGGTGGCGACCTCCGTACATTTTTCAAGGTGAACCGATTCGAAAAGCACTTTGAAAACTTGACAGGAGCTGTCAGTCATGGCTTTGTTGACTTTCTGAAGGTGAGTGTTCAAATGTTTAATATTTTGTAACCTCCTATATTTAGTTTATGTGTATGAGATGGGGAAAGAAGGAAAACACCAGAATCAAAACTAGAGTTAACTCCACCAGACCGCTGTACCGTTTTCTGGTATTTTCCTAATCTGCTGCTAAACTGCTGTACCTAATGTTTGGTACTTTGCTCACTATGTGAAAAAAATACATCAGAAACTAAAAATAGCCAATCAGTCATGGACAAACCTCATGGTTGGTCATTGCAAATGTCTGCCCCCTTGTGTTTAGATTGACTTTGGTTTACTTGACTTTTGTTCACATTGAAATGAGTGGTTGATGAACTAAGCACTTCAACAGGAAAGTAAAGTAGCTCTAGGCTTTTTACAGGCCAACAGATGATCGATACTTTGGTTGATTCAGTCTCTGAGGAGTCAGAATTTCAACAAGAATACGTTTCCAGTTGAAGTGACACACAAACTGCCAGAGCTCGAGTGATGAGGAAAATCTTTAATTGTATAGCTCTAAAGCTGGATCAATAGTAAGAGAAGGGGGTAGAGGACGTGTCCCTCAAACAGCTGATGGGGGAGATCTAGGTGGTGATGAAGGTTGGACAAGGTATTTTGTTTCACCAAATACAGATCTGAATTTCAATGATGAAAGGCAAACCTATCTTCTACAATGTCTCCATGTTTCATCTTATTCTAACCACTTGTTTGCATGTAACTAATATTTGTGTATTTCATGTTGGTTTTTTGCTTTAGTGCCCAGGAGCTCAGGTATAGGAGGCAGTTAGGTTCAGGGCCTCGGGTCTGGTAGGGTTTTATAATGGATGCTGAGGCAAAAGAAAGACAATACCAGTCAAAAAGTGGGACACATATAGCATGCTGAAGCAGTAGAACAAAACAAAGAAAAGGAAAAATTCCAGTCAGCACCAAGGGTAAATAATGGATGCTGCAACAATCCATAGATAATGTAACAAAACAAAGAGAAGGAAACAAAACGAAAGAATGCAGCAGAGTTAAACATGAAGAAAATATTATAGATATTCAGACCACACATGAAACAATAGGTTTAATCTAAAAAAGCTGCCGAAAACCAAAACTGCAGATCGGAAGGTCATGGGTTCAGGTCCTGACCGGAGCCAGACTTTTAAAAAAAAATGACCTTGGCTCTGAGGTCGACCCAGCTTTAAATGGATGCAGGTAAAGTCCTGGGAACGAACGAAAGTAAAGTAAAGTAAAGGCAGCCAGCATGAAGCAGACCAAGTACTGATTGGTCTATAAAATAAGCTCTGCCCCTATGTGCCCAACATGCCTGAAGGTATTGAAAAGGGTCCTTTTAGCTAACAAGGATGTGCTTCTCTTTAACATACTTTGTAAAAAGGTCATGTTTTAAGATATTTTGTTTTACAGGACATAAGGTCCTCCTTCTTGCCTGGTAGCATGCAGTTTAACCATTCTATGCTTCCCGTAAGGATCTCAGTGATACATGGAAGGTTAATCACTTGGATAATGTAACCGTTGCTTGCAGAGAAAGGGTTAAATTATTCTTGTCATCAAACAGTTGGACATTCGCATGATGAAAGATCAAGTTCTGGAAAAACAGAAAGTTATTTCAGATGTGGCCACTCAGCTGAAAGGAAAATTCCGGATAATTGTCAACCATGAAAGCATCATTACCAAACCCAAGAGTTCAATATATCCGGTAAGTTATCTTTTGATTGTTTCTTGTCATTTTTTATTGTCTGATTTTTGGTTATGAAAATATAAATTACACATAGACAGTTGTTTTTATGTGTGGGCATTGGATATTGACCCAAGAACTTGCACTGTTGATGGAAAAAAAGGAAAGGGAAAGTAAAGAGATAAATACCTGAATAGCTTGGTCATATGAATGGGGCAAGGCAAGAGCACTGACATGATCGTAATTTGATGATCTTGTGAAATTGCAAAACATGACAGCCTGTGTTTATCAGCAGGGCACACGATGGTGATGATGAGACTTGAGACTTGATATGTGTGAAAAATTGTGTTCCCAAACCTGGGAGGGGAACATGGCCACCTTAGGTTTTATTCCCAGCCAGCCCATAGATTCCTTGTTAAATTATGACATGTCTGTATCATAATGCCCCTGTGTGGGTTCCGGGGCCCCATTGTGTCGACTAATTGGGGGCTACCTTTGAGATGCAAGGAACCAACAGTCTGCACACAGATAAGTCAGATCTGTAAAATGGATGTATACGCAGCACTCATGTTCAGGAACAAGACTAAAGCCCAGAAGAGGATAAACAGCCAGAACTTTCCACCTGAGTTTACAGTCAGTGGATGCAAAGAAAGAGAAAAGAAATGCTCTTCAGAGGCCGTGGGTCTGTTCCTAATTTTTTCTCCAAATGGGGTCCTGGAACTCGTAGGGGGAGATCACATGAATAAATAATTGGCAGGTAAAGGGCAAACAACTCTTTTCTGGTCGCTCTTAGCAGGATGGTTGACACATTATCGTGGTTTACAGCTAAGCTGCGATATTTGCACATTTTGACCCTGCACGCCCGGTTTTAGCAAACCCTCACGATTAATCATCTTTTATGACAAGCTTGTTAAGGGGCCGTGGGTCGATTCTGCTTCCTCCCCAAAACCCCACAGTGGGAGAAGGGCAGACAGTCAAGAGGTGTCATTTTAAGACTGTTCATCTTGTTTATGTTACTGTGTGATTGGGAGTTATGGATAATTTCATAAACACTTCTGCCCCCCAAAGCTAGCAGTTGCTGCCTTTATTTTACCACTTTTGCTGTGTATGCAGCAGGGTATTTGAGCCTGAGGATTTACGGCTGCATGACTAGTGCTGTCGCCACGGACTGTGCAGGTGAGGGCTTATTTTTTGCCCTCAACAGAAAAACATCCTCAGCCTTACTGAGAATTCGAACTCGGGTCTCAGCAACTCCACATTCTTCCTTAAAATGGCTGTTTGGCTCATGGATCTGTGGTTTACAGCTGAATTATTCCACTAAGTTTACTCAGGGACCAGAATTTTGAAAATGGAGATCGACACAGGCCAGAAGCCCAAGCATAGAATTCTGACTTAATACAGTATGATTGCCCCAAATACATTTCCAGGCGAAACATCTGGCTAAGAGAGACAGACAGTAGTTGAAGCCAAATTTTACAGGCAGCTAAGTGAACTACAAATGACAGGGACGTTCATACTAAAGATAGCATTGCAGATATGGATAATTTATTTTAAGCGAACAAAACAAGTCAAATTGACAAAGATCAGCTGCGCCGCCAGTTGAATAGCTCTAGTTTAAAGCTAGGTTGTGAAGGCTGTGCCTTTTCACCCAACATGACAAATTTCAAGTAATCCCTAATTTATTCACTTTTTATGACATGCTGGGAGGGGGGGGGGTTTCCCACCTAAAAGGGGGCCCAGTAGTTTACTAGGGTTCAAAAAATTAGCAACTTGTGATAACATGCAATTTTGAAACATAGACCATTTCACTAGCACTGAAGAAGAAAATCAAGGCCATCATTTGCCTTGCACACCCAGCTAGGTTCAGAACTTGAAGAGGACAGTTCAGAGCTGATTGTAAATACATGGCTTTGGGGCATTTAGTACCTAGAAACATTTTCTCTAGCTCTCCCCCCCCCCCCCCAATCCTTCCCTTCCCCCCCCCCCCCTACTCCCACAGTGGATCATGGGCCCTCAACCAACTCTTGCCAAGGCATCCTGTCAAGAGCCTGTGTGGCTGTGTGTATCCTTTGCTGTCAGGTCCAGTTGCCCCGTGCCCTCCCATCCTTTGAACCACACTCTGTAGCTCCCTTGATGTTTTTCTTATTGGGGGGGGGGGGGGCGCCTTTTATTCCCTTAACCCTGTGGGTTCCAGTGCAAAGACATTCTAGTTATATTATCAGGTTTTCTCAGTGCGGGTTCTAACCAGAACATGCAGCAGCAGCCTGTTCTAAATGAGTGGGCTTGGGCCCTTTTTAAGGATGTTAGGGCCCTCACTGCCCTTTAATAAACTTGTCACAAAAGACTAGTTTGTGATTTAGTGAAATTAGATGTGTCTGGTACCCAAAATATTCACATATGGTATCCTAGCTGTAAAGGACAATGTATCAACTGCCTTTTTAAGGATACATGCAGAAGAATACAGTAGGTGCTATGCAGTTATCTTATTTTGCTGATGTTGCAGATACTACGCATGGCGCAGCCAAGCCTCCTTCTGACTGGGCATTGGCATTTGGTAAGTAAGGTTTATCATCTTTTTTTTTCTTTTTTTTTTTTGTTTCACTTTCACCAGCTGTAAACTCCGGCAGGAAGTTTTGGTTGGTTGTCCACTTCTAGATTTTATTTCAAATTTCTGAACTTGAGGAATGCATGCTCTCTTTTTTACAGATATGGCTTATTTGTATGCAGACTGTTGGTTCTTCACCTCTCAGGCAGATGCAGTCTGACTTTAAAGGCTCTCAGGCTACACACAGAAGAAAACACTACTGATTAGTCGGCTTTTGTGACATGCTTATTGGGACTCAGTTGGTAAATCCCCCAGGAGCCCACCCACAAGTGTGATTGACCTATTAATACCAACAGTGCAGACCGGTTCACACAGTCTTGAATGTGGCGAATTTCGGTTATGAAGAACAATTTGTTCATCGCTTGCAGTTTTTCCTCTTTGTCTTTGTAACAAAGCGCAAACCATTTATGATGAATTTTCATATGTGCCGAACAATTTAAATATGCTGCAGCTATATAGTTTGATTTGCATAAGCAAACACTTTTTCCAAATTAATGGATATTTGTACAACTTTTCAACTATTGTTGACAATTGTGTGCTTTTTCATTATTAGAATTTGAGTATTTCCCCTACAAAAATGGCAGGAAAGTTAAAATCTAGGCGAAGGGGGAGAAGTAAAAGACGAGGGGGGGGGGGGGGGGGGGGGGGACATGGAAATAGTCAAGAATTTAAACATTCCAAAATGGGGTCTCTGTGGTGAAATGGTCAGGTCATTTGTCTTGTATCTGAAGGTCGTGGTTTTGAATCACGGCAGCACTCTTCAGTTCATGAGTGCAGTTTTTTACATAGATCCCTCGGGATATCACAGTAACCCAGGAGTCCATGCTTTGTGCAACGCTCTCTGCAGGCGGCTGGTTGTTCTTCGGAGAAAGACCGAACCACATGGGATAAAACTCGGTGCAATGACTTCGATCCTCTTGGCTTTATTATTTGATTCCAAAATCAAGGCTTTTGGGAACCATAAACAAAATAAGCTTAGAAAGTGCTTTTATTCTTACATTTTTCTGCCAACTTTGTACATTAACACTTTTGTTGACTTGCATATGTTCTGTCATACAGCTGTCATATCCAGTGCTAATTTATTATTGTATTGTACGTTGAAAATGCTTTACCATGTGCTTCAATTCTTATCTGGATAAGATAAATTTCTGATAAGAACTATTTCTTGGTCCCTGGTATTTTTGCCTGATGTACCAGTAGTGTGAGTCGTTTAGTTTTCTCAAGACTGATCTAAGTTTTATAAATAAACAAATGCCCTTTCCTGTCAACAGTCACAGATGCTGTCCTGTGACACCTGCCTCTCAGACGATGAGGACATGAACAACTGGCCCTACTACCAGCGAGATATGGCCAGCATGGAGCCGTACATTGACGTAGACTTCACCAATCTGATTGCCCTCAGTGAGATTATGGTGCCAACTTGCAGCTACCGGATGGGAGTTCCCAAAATGGGATATGGGGTGGCTGTTATAAGTAAGTTTGTGAAAAGAATCCTGCCTATTTAATGATTAAGTTGTTTCCAATGGGGTGGGGTGTATGTGGATGCGCCTGCTAATGAGTATGCAATTTAAAATCAGCTAATTGGGAGTTTACTCTTCTTCTTCATTCACCGGCTGTGAATTCCGGTGGAAAGTCCCGGTTAATTATCCACTTGGACTTTTGGTCTTTACCTGGACCTGAGTTTTGCGTGTACAACAGTTTTACTGGCTTTTGCTGTTCCCTGCCTCACGGGCAGATATACTCCCACTTACAGGGAAGACGTCAGGCCTATTTCTAGGATGACTGTGGCCATTATTTTGTGTGGGTCGAGATGTTGCCTGATTTGTGTGGTGTCCTCTTTGTCCCTTTCTCCACAGGTGTTGCCACCAGAGTACCCCCTTTGGGGCAGCCCTGTATGGAACGGTTAGCCCTCAAGGGAAGGCAGGGGCAGATTATGGGCATTCCCCGCCATCCAAGGAGGCTTCCATAAATGCAGATCCGACACATGGCGCTCTGGTGCTGGACTCACCCAAGGAATCGTCATGTCTTGCACATGACTGCTTAACCTCACAACCGTATAAGGCTGCGCCCTCCGGAGATCAGCGGGGAGCAGCCCATGGGTTCTGGACTTTTGTGACCACACGAATAGGTACATTCTTTTTCTTTGCACGTTTGACATCTTTAACGTGCCGCTAGCACAACAGAATGGAGAATCCTGCGTCAGGCATGTCTTTATCTGTTTGGTCCCAACACTTTGGCTAGTGGGGTCTCAGGATGTGGACATTTTGACTTTTTCACAATCAATACGATTTATTATGGTAGGATTTTGAGCTTGCTCGTGTGCCATAGGATCTATTTTTGTCAGATATTTGGGCTTAGCCAGCCGATAGACTGTTGCTGTCGTGGTGTACCTCAGCGTGGTGGCGACGACACTGAGGGTTGACAGGATGTACATGGGTAGAATCTTGCTGCGAGACGCCACCCACAGGAAATGTTACTCATTTGAGCTGGAGGTAAATCTCTTGGTCAAGGGTTGAGTCTCAGCAGCACAGTATTCTCTTCACTCCACAAACTTTTAACCCAGGGTTGTCATTTTAGTTGAACTTTTGACAAACAGACTTTACTCCTGTTCCTAATGAGTTTTGATAAATGTTTTCACTCATGTGTTTGGGTGCGTGCTGATGAGAGCCACAAGGACACATCACCTCTGGGGGCCGCCAACTTCGAGATCCCCTGACAGCTCTGTTAATGCTCATTTCAGACATTATCCGTGGCACACAACAATGACGTGCTGCAGGAGTCTTGCATGAGGTTACATAAAACGAGAACAGTGAAGGACTGGCGCCCGAGTGACGTATGGAGTTTCTCCTCATACACATCACATCACGCCTGTGACAGAAATCACCGTGCCACAGTTTACTTAAACTGGATATATTGTCAGGGCCCTCTCTAGAAGCAAAGAATAGTAACACTGCGCCCTGCCAAACATGTCCTAAGAGGCGACTAAGGGGTTGGCTACCTAATCATTTGTAAACACTGGCCACAAAAACCAACGAACCAAGGAAATTTGATGACGACATGATTGAGAGCCTGTGCTGCATTGGGGGATAGAAGGCAAAAGAAGAAGAATTTGTGTTATGCCGAAAGGTGCAGATGTTGCAGCCCAGCTGTAAACCACAACACATGCCAGCCAGTCTTTTAAAAGCGAATGCAGAAGAAGTGTTTGTTTGTCACTGCTCTTTGGGAAGTGTGGTACATGGCCAAGATGTTATCTAGCAAATGTACTTGTATCCCATAATCCTCAAGAATAGCCCACAGTTTGTTTCTTTCTGCTCTGTAAAAATCTTTTTTCTTGATCTACAAACACACTATTCAGTTCATCTTCATATTCAGTGGTTTCCCGTGAACTTGTCTTAGTGTAAATAATGCATCTGTGCAACCTTTTCCTTTCCTGAAACCAAATTCTGATGTACTTAGGTGCTGTTCTGCTATAGGTCTAAGCAAGTTATAATTAAGGTTTATTTTTCTTTTGGTCTGTGGAAATGTTAATGATGATCATCCCTTTAACTCACTTCTGTCTCTGTGGCTTGGCCTAGAATACTGTGCACATGTGCCTACATTTGTGTGTAAGTGAGCACATGTATGTCAGCTTACTGTGCACACAAACACTGATGTGAGCATAGAACTGGTACAAACTTGCAAAATGCCAAAATTACCTTGAGAAATCCTTGGAATACCTTTGAAAAAATAGTTTGTGAATTTGGCTACGAACCCTGCATTTAATACTGGTCTTGCAGGCAAGTGTGCTAGCCAGAGAGCTTCTGCAGTTCCCAAACAACCCAGGTGTTGGCAGTATTCATTGTGTGACCAGTTGGCATAGGTCCAAGCCTTATAAAGTACTAGCTAACTTTCAGAGAAAAATGATGAAGACAGAAACTGCCCACTCCACGTTGAGGTAGAGTTTTTGAGATCCAATGCTTCTTCTGTTTAACTCAAGGAGTGTGTGTGCCAGCTTTACCAGCATAATATAAATATTGAACGATCCCACAGCCATGGTAGGAATTGTGAGCAGTTTGCATGACTCCAGCCAACTGGTCCTTTCTGCTTGTGTGAAACAATCAGCCTGGCTGTCAGTCAGTGCATGAACAGTTGTGTCAGTCATGTTTGTGAATTTCCCAGATGGCATAGGAATGAAGAGCGGTGGACAGTCGTTTATGTGCAGCGAATAAAAGCTGTTGAACATTGAATCCTGGCAACATTCAAGAGATGTGTTTGTACGTGAGGTCATTGAACCAACCACTTACAATGAATGAGAGAGTGACCAAGTAAAAGACTATTTACCTTATCCTTCCGTGCAGTTGTAATTTAATTTTGATTGTTTTGGTGCCTGTTTCAGATAAATCTGGCAAGATGAAGTACACAGTTTTATGGCTACCCTCTCGCTACCACCTGCTGTATGTTTATATTGTAGTGTTGGCTGTCGCAGCTTTTGTGCTGATAATAAACTGGGTGTTTTCTCCAGTCAAATCTAGAAAATGGCCATACAGATGACAAGAACCGATGTACGATTAACACATATGTTTATTATCTATATTTTCACCACTGGCACGCATGGGGACTCTTTGCTGACTGCTGAAAAATGAGAACAGGAATGTCCCCCGTCTTTTCATGTTAGTTCTTAAGTCAATCAACTCAACTCTACTTTCATTAAGCTACAACTCACAGAAATGTATTTAATCAGGGTTGGCGTCCAGGTTAATCGGACCTATAATAGATAGGTGTGTTGTGGAAACATGCGATAGGCAGAGTTGAGTTGCAGTTATGGTGCAAACACACGTTCATTATTAGCAGATTTTATGAGCTGCAGAAGCACTGCTAAGTGCTGTATAGTAGTAGAAGCTTGTTGCCACTGTACATCTCACAGTAGAAGTCTTAACATTAGCCTCATGAGATGATTTCTTTAAATATATTACGTCTTCTTCTTCTTCGCGTTCACCAGCTGTAAACTCTGATGGAAAGTTTTGGTTGTTCATCCATTTCTGGACTGCAGTCGTGTTCCAGAACCTGAGCATTGCGTGTGCATCCGTTTTACAGATCTGACTCATTTGTATGCAGACTGCTGGTTCCTTGCCTCAGGAGGATACAGCTTGACTTCGAAGGAAGCTCCCAATTAGTTGACCCTTACGACATGCTTTTGGGTAGGCAGTGGGTCTATTCTTTATTTCCCTATAATAGAAAATGGCCATACAGATGACAAGAACCGATGTACGATTAACACATATGTTTATTATCTATATTTTCACCACTGGCACGCATGGGGACTCTTTGCTGACTGCTGAAAAATGAGAACAGGAATGTCCCCCGTCTTTTCATGTTAGTTCTTAAGTCAATCAACTCAACTCTACTTTCATTAAGCTACAACTCACAGAAATGTATTTAATCAGGGTTGGCGTCCAGGTTAATCGGACCTATAATAGATAGGTGTGTTGTGGAAACATGCGATAGGCAGAGTTGAGTTGCAGTTATGGTGCAAACACACGTTCATTATTAGCAGATTTTATGAGCTGCAGAAGCACTGCTAAGTGCTGTATAGTAGTAGAAGCTTGTTGCCACTGTACATCTCACAGTAGAAGTCTTAACATTAGCCTCATGAGATGATTTCTTTAAATATATTACGTCTTCTTCTTCTTCGCGTTCACCAGCTGTAAACTCTGATGGAAAGTTTTGGTTGTTCATCCATTTCTGGACTGCAGTCGTGTTCCAGAACCTGAGCATTGCGTGTGCATCCGTTTTACAGATCTGACTCATTTGTATGCAGACTGCTGGTTCCTTGCCTCAGGAGGATACAGCTTGACTTCGAAGGAAGCTCCCAATTAGTTGACCCTTACGACATGCTTTTGGGTAGGCAGTGGGTCTATTCTTTATTTCCCTATAATAGGGCCTTGGAACCCACACGGAGGACACTGACGTCTGAAAATATGAGCAGAAGAAAACCGGGGAATGCTTAAGTTCTGCCTCGGCCTTCTGTTGGGGACTGACCAGCATGACGTGGCCTCTGGGCTGGTTGTGAGGCACCACCTGTGAAACAGAGATGACCACACAACAGTGAGACTGCAGTGTCCCATGAAACTAACCAGGAAGGCTAACTGAGTCAACAGATGCCCACAGAAGTTGGATATATCGACAAAAAGGCCTAAAATTTTCAGCCATGCTGTAAACGAGCATGATACAATTACATTTAGGATGTAAGCAGAAGAAACTGACGTTTTAAGCGTGAAGTATGCAGACAATAAATTGTGCAGTGTATTGTTTGTGTCATTATTTGAATTCATAGTAAGATAGTGTTTTCTTGAATTTAAGAAACAAAGATCTCTATTATCTTCAAAGATAGTGTTATCTTGAATTTAAGAAACAAAGATCTCTATTATCTTCAAAGATAGTCTCATTGGACACCCACCCCCCACCCTTTTCCCCCATTGTAAAAGAAGCTTTTTTTCCAGGCGAGAAATAATTTTAGGCCTGTAGTTTTCCTGTTTGCAAACGGGTTGATCTGGGTTGATCGTTACTTGTAATAAAGTAAACGTGGTTATTTCGTTTGTAGTTTACAATTACTTATTCCATTTCATTTTTGTATTTGTTTCCTACTAGAAAACTGTATCGTAATTTATGGTAGAGATCAGGCAGAGTAACTGTAGCAATTTTAAAATATACTGTGTTTTCACTTTGAATGTCATTGAATAAAAGGATTGTTTTTAAGTATTGTACTAATTTTTCAACAGGGTGTTTCAAAGCTGCACCACCTTGGGGTCTACACGTGATACTGTAGGTCTATTGCCTTGTCAAATAATCGCAAAGAGAACTATTTCCTCATGTTTGGGATAACAAGAAAATCACTGATGTGTCTGTAGGCCAGCAGACTGTCTACACTTTATCCAGATCTGGATACACTTTAGATATGGATACTCTTTAAGCCAGATCTGGATTTAAAAAATAAGCCTGATCTGGATACACTTTAGCCAGAACTAGATGCAATGTTGCTAGATCTGGATACAAATAAGCCATATCTGGATAAAAATAAGCCAATGTAGCTAGATGTGGGTACAAATAAGCCAGATATGGATAGTGTTGCTAGATCTGGATGCAACATAGCTAGATCTAAATACAAAAAGCTAGATATGATACTCTTCGGCGAAATCTGGATACAAATATTAAGCTAGATCTGGATACAAATAAGCCAGACATGGATGTAGCTAGATATGGATACTCTTAAAGCCAGATCTGGATGAAAAATAAGCCTATCTGGATACACTTTAGCCAGATCTGGATACAATGGTGCTAGATCAAGACACAATGTAGCTAGATCTGGATACAAATAAGCTTTATCTGGGTAAAAATAAGCCATATCTGGATACAAATAAGCCAATGTTGCTAGATATGGATACAAATAAGCCAGATCTTGATACAACTGATCCTGATCTGGATACCAATAAGCCAGATCTGGAAACAATGTAGCTAGATATGGATACAATGTTGCTAGATCTGGATACAATGTAGCTAGATCTGAATACAAATAAGCTAGATCTGGATAGAAATAATAAGCTAGATCTGGATACAAATAAGCCAGATACAATGTTGCTAGATCTGGATAAAAAAAAAGCCTGATATGGATACAGAGTAGATAGATCTGGTTACTTATAAGCCAGATCTGGATACAATTTAGCTAGATCTGGATAGCTTTAGCTAGATCAGGATACAAATAAGCAAGATCTGGATATAAATAAGTCAGACATGGATGTTGCCAGATCTGGATACACTTTAGCTAGATCTGGATGAAAAATAAGCCTGATCTGGATACACTTTAGCCGGATCTGAATACAAATATGCTAGATCTTAACACAATGTAGCTAGATCTGGATACAAATAAGCTTTATCTGGGTACAAATAAGCCATATCTGGATACAAATAAGCCAATGTTGCTAGATATGGATACAAATAAGCCAGATCTTGATACAACTGATCTGGATACCAATAAGCCAGATATGGAAACAATGTAGCTAGATATGGATACAAATATATGGATAGTGTTGCTAGATCTGGATACTCTTTGGCCGTATCTGGATAGAAATAATAAGCTACATCTGGATACAAATAAGCCAGATATAGATACAATGTTGCTAGATCTGGATAAAATGTAGCTAGATCTGGATACAAAAAAGCCTGATATGGATACAGAGTAGATAGATCTGGATACTTATAAGCCAGATCTGGATACAATTTAGCTAGTTTTGGATAGCTTTAGCTACATCAGGATATAAATAAGTCAGACATGGATGTTGTCAGATCTGGATACACTTTAGCTAGATATGGATACTCTTAAAGCCAGATCTGGATGAAAAATAAGCCTGATCTGGACACAATGTAGCTAGATCTGGATACAAAAAAGCTTTATCTGGTTACAAATCAGCCATATCTGGATACAAATATTAAGCTAGATCTGGATACAAATAAGCCAGACATGGATGTAGCTAGATATGGATGCGTAACTGGATTAAAAAATAAGCTATGTAGCTAGATCTGAATACAAATAAGCTAGATCTGGATACTCTTTGGCCGTATCTGTATACAAATAAGCCAGATATAGATACAATTGTGCTAGATCTGGATTAAATGTAGCTAGATCTGGATACTCTTTAGGCAGATTTTGATACAATATAGCTAAATCTGGATACAAATAAGCAAGATCTGGGTAGTGTTGCTAGATCTGGATACAATGTAGCTAGATCTGAATACAAATAAGCTAGATCTGGATACTCTTTGGTCGTATCTGGATAAAAATAATAAGCTAGGTCTGGATACAAAAAGCCTGATATGGATACAGAGTAGATAGATCTGGATACTTATAAGCCAGATCTGGATACAATGTAGCTAGATCTGGATGCAAATAAGCCATATCTGAATACAAATATGCCAATGTAGCTAGATCTGAATACAAATAAGCCATTTCTGGATACTATGTAGCTAGATCTGGATACAAATAAGCCAGAAATGGAAAAGAGTAGCTAGATCTGGATACAAAAAAGCCAGATCTGGATACAATGTTGCAAGATATGGATACAAATAAGTTGATCTGGATACAAATAAGCCAATGTTGGATATATAGATCTGGATACTTATAAGCCAGATCTGGATACAATGTAGCTAGATCTGGATAGCTCTTTCTAGATCTGGATACAAATAAGCCAGATCTGGATATATTGTAGCTAGATCGAATACAATGTAGCTAGATCTGGATACAAATAACCCTAATCTGGATACAATGTAGCTAGATCTGGATACTCTTTAGGCAGGTTTTGATACAATATAGCTAAATCTGGATACAAATAAGCCAGATCTGGATACAATATAACTAGATCTGGATACAATGTAGCTAGATCTGAATACAAATAAGCTAGATCTGGATACTCTTTGGCCATATCTGCATACAAATATTAAGATAGACAAATAAGCCAGACATGTATACTATGTTGCTAGGACTTAATACAATGTAGCTA